CCAGTCTTGGGGTATTCTAATCATTACTGCACTTTGTCCCTTCAGTCTGTGGATACCTAATGCTTTCTTGGTTTTGCTGGTCTTGAGTATATGCATCATGCCTTGTCATGTTTGGCTTCATAGACCCAATCTGTCACTTTAAAATTAATCCTCTTATGACACCTGCCTTACTTCATATATGTTCTGCAAATTACAAATTAAAGTAGCAATTAGATAGAAATCACTGCACACTTCTAAGGATGTCCAGAATACAAAACACTAACCAAATTCTGCTGAAAATATGGAACAAGAAAAAATGACATTCATTGTTGGTAGAAATGTACAGCCAATTTGGAGGACTATTCATCAGTTCCCTACAATAGTAAATACTGTTTAGCAATAGATTTAATAGTCATGCTAATTAATATTTACCTAAAAGAGCTGAAGAAACATCTCACAAATACCTGCATAGATATATTGTCAAAACAACCAAGGTAGCTTTCAATATGTGTTCAGGTAGATTTCATTATATCCAGACAATGGAATACTATATGCCATTTCATTTACTTTTAAAATCATGGTTTCATGAAAAGATGTAGAGAAACTTTAAGCCTATATAGTATAGTTGAAGAAGCTAATCTAAAAGATCAATTTATGTTTATTTTCAACTACGTGGCATTCTGGAATAGACAAAGCTGCAAGGCCATTAAAATCCTGATCAGAGTCAATGGTTGAAGAGGCCACTGGGATGAATAGTTGGATTAGAGAGAATTCTTAGAGCAGTGAGATTATTCTTAATAATGTAATAGCTATGGATATACATCATTGTGCATTGGTGAAAATAAACCATAGAGTTGTGATAATGAGTGACGTATCAATGTTAGCGCACTCACTATAATAAACACACCACTTAGTGGGAAGAGAGAACATTTAGAAATCTCCCTTAAATTTTGCTCATTTTTGCCTTAAACATAAAATCTATTTGAACAACAAAAATTGCATTTCTAGTCAACTTTTTATGTTTATTTTCATTCTCATCCAAAACTAGTAAAAAAAAGGCATAGAGTTTTGCCTGGCTGATTATGATCTGTCCCTACTCAATCATTCCATTATCGCCTAAATTAAGAGTATTCTAGATTTGCCCATGAACATGAAGGATGAAATCAAATAATGGAAAATAATGGACACTGATCCAATTTTTTGGGTCACACTCTAGAAAAAATGGCTCGTTCTCTCATCATACTGTGTTTTTCAGACTGAATAGGATCACATTCAAAATTAGAGCTAGAGAAAGATTGTCCTTAACATCACAGATTAATTAATACGTGAAAAAATACTGTTTGGCAAGAGCAAGTCATTATTATTTAAATTCCATTGAATAGCATATGGAGGCTGTCTGCATTCCAGTTATAGCATCTTTTAAGCAACTAACTTGAAGTTAATATTTGGGCCGATATATGATTCTTCAGACATTTTTACTGTAATTTCCCTCATTGTAATCTTTTTCTTGTTTTATTGTATTCTTTTTTTTAGAATTTAAAATAGCATTTCATACACATCATCTCATTTCATGTTTACCTTATATGAAGTATACATAATCATTGATATTTTCCTTTGTCCTATTGTTCATTTCCAAGATTGCACTGAGAGACACATTCTGACATCCCCTCTCTTGCTTGTCTTCATTACTGAGTTTTAATATCCTAGTCATTACCTTCATCTGTGGTTCTAAACCTGCTCCTGGAAGTATAAGTCTGTGTGTGGTTGAAGACAGGCAAACAGAAAACTGATACCTCCTTTTCCAAACAATACAGTTCTTTGCCGTGCTTTTCCAGAGCTTTTCAGTCTTGTCTTAACTTCACTGTCACATTTTCCATTACTCTATCCTTTCCTCAACCTATATATTTTATTTTCCAGAATACAGAAATTATTGGCCTTAAGATTTATTCTATTTCATTTCCCAAGTTTTTTTTTTTTTAAAGATCTATTCATTTTGATTAGAGACAGGTTTACAGAGAGAAGGAAAGACAGAGAAAGATCTTTCACCCGTTGGTTCATTCCTCAAAGAGGAGCCAGGAGTTCTTTGTGTGTCTTCCATGCGGATGCATGGTTCCAAGACTTGGGCCAGCCCCTGTGGCTTTCCCAGGCCGCAAGCAGGCAGCTAGAAGGGAAGTCTAGAAATTGAGATGGGATTCAGTGCTTGCAAGAAGAGTTTTAGCCAATTGAGCCATTGATCTGGGTTCTTCATACCCCAAGTTCTAAATTAACTCTAATTTCTTGATAAAACACCCTTTATCTTTCTACTGGTTGAATATATATATTCTATATATGTATATATATTCTCTCTCTCTCTTATTTATATATATAAATATATAATATATATATATTTCTTTTTTTAAAATTTATTTTATTTTCATTGGAAAGTGAGATACAGACAGGAGGAGAGAAAGAGAGAAAGATCTTCCGTCCGATGATTCACTCCCCAAGTGACAGCCAAGGCCAGTGCTATGCCGATCTGGATCTGGGATCCAGGAACTTCTTCCAGGTCTCCCACACAAATGCAGGGTCCCAAGGCTTTGGGCCGTCTTCTTCTGCTTTCCCAGGCCACAAGCAGGGAGCTGGATGGGAAGCGGAGCTGCTGAGATTAGAACTTGCATCCATATGGGATCCTGACGTGTTCAAGGTGAGGACTTTAGCTGCTATGCCACGTTGCCGGGCCCCCAGAGGGATACATTTCTATTGCCGCAAGTTTGCCCTGTCTCAGCAGAGAGCAATGTAAACTCTTAACTGTGCCACACCCCTCCCACCTGAGTGCACAAACACAGTAGCTGGAAACATTGTTGCTGAAAGGCCTATGCCAATATTCCTAGAATTCTAGACTCTAATTCAGTAAGAAGAGAGAAAAAGAGAGTTGGCTTGGATTGGACAAAACAACAGATGCTGTAAAAGAGTAGGCACACTCAAACTGTGTGCCAAGGAGAGGCATTGTGGAGCCCATCACCCTTTGCAAAGAAACCAGAAATATTTTGAGGCAGAAATGAGTCAGGCTACTATAGAGCTGCTTCTATATGATGCAAACATAGCAATACAGACTAAAAACTTTCCTGGAAATTAACTGACTACCTTTCACTCAATTCAAAGTAACTTTTGAGGCCCCTTACCTGCCATATTTTGAAAGAACATGCAATTTCTTAAAATCAGAGTTATAGAATCACCCAAAATTCCATTTTATCTTCAGTATTTCTTTGCAGATTTGTCACCACATACTCCTAAAAAACATGCCACACACCTTCACTGTAATAGAAGAATCGTAGACAGAAGAGAGGGAGTACAATCCTGTAAGTGAAAGTCCCTAAATACAAACAGGGCTTTACCGTATGATTGGATTTTACTCATATTTGTGGGAGGAGTGCCCCGAATGACTTAAGAAAACAGTTGATACTTTATTTGAGAGTCAACCCAAGCCTTAGATCAATGCTTACTCATCGTCTTCTGTTGTCATGGGTTAGTTATGATTTCCTCATCATCTGAGCAATAAACACCTCTATTTTCTTTTTTTTTCTAATTTCCACATAGTGAATATTCCATTGCCCGTGGCTGCTAGGTGATGTCTTCTGTGTGGGTGCTACAGAAAATCCATCGACCTGGATGAGTCCGTTGCCTCTGATATCTACGATAATCTAGGTGCTGGTCTCCCCGATTGCCTCATGTAACCATCAGTTGCTAGTGTTGAGCTAAAGCACCGAATCAAACTCAGTAGCAGTGCTACACGAGGTTTCCATGACCTTGGAGTTGTCTTTTCAGATGCTTTCTCTCATTTCTATCCTGAGGAGATGTTTGAAAGCCTCCAAGTTTAACAGGCTTTAAAATCTTCAGGTGTAAGTTGATTCTTCTCGGAAGTTGTTTCTGTGTTCTTGCGTGGCAAACCTCCACCTCACTCATGACTTTTACTTTGAGATAAAGGTTGACTTTTTTTGAGTATACACTCAAAAACATGGTCATTCTGACTGCTTGTGGAGGTTGATGTTACTGGTATTTATCCAGAGCTATCATGCCAAAGGTAAAATATTTTTCTTTGGTGTACCAGGTTGATCTTTTAATAATTATGGGGAGGGGACACATTGTGACATAACAGGAGGGATCATTGCCTGTGACCGTGGTATCCCACGAAAGTGCTGATTTGGGTACCAGATACTCCTGATCCATCTCCCTGCTAGCATGCCTGGCAAAACAGTAGATAAGGCGACAAATGTTTGCACCTCTCCATAGAAACAGTTTTTGGGTGCTGGTTCCTGGATCCTGATTTCAGATGCTCAGTTCCAGCCATTGGGGTCGCTTGGGGTGTAGTCAAGCAGATAGAAGATCTTTGTCTGAGTCTCCCTTTTTTTTCTCTCTCTCTCTCTCTCTCTGTAATTCTGTCTTCCAAACAAATAACTATTGCTTTGAAATAATTAGAAAAAGTCTTGAATGATTTTATTCAAGTTTGTGGGAATAATGAATAGAGGTTTAAATGATAAGCAGAGCACCTTATATGGTACACCATAGATAGATAATTGTTTCTGAATTTATGTGACACCTGTGAGGATACTTCAAAAAAGTTTATGGGAGGTGGGATTAAAATGCATTTGGTCTGATGCGATTTTTTATAGTCTGGTTGTACAAGAAGTCTTCAAAAATTCTGAAAATGATGCATATTATGAAAAATTTACATACTGATTTTTAAAAACAGTTTGCAACTGGTTTGATGTACGTGATAGCACAATAGAAGAAGGCCCAAATATCTGGGTCCTTGCAACCAGGTGGGAGACACAGAGGAGACTCCAGGCTCCTGCCTTTACACTGGCCCAGCTCTGGCTTTTGTGGCTGTTTGGGGAGTGAGCCAGCATATGGAAGATCTCTGTGTTTCACTCTGTCTTTGTAATTCTGTCTTTCAAACAAACTAAAATGAAATTTTAAATATACATACATGTATAAACGATTCTATTTTTTCACAAACTCTTTGATGACCCATCTCAACTGAAAACAGGAGGTACTCAGCGAGAGAGAAAGAGAGTAAGAGACAAAGATGAAGAAAGTTTGAGAATTACATGAAGACAACTCACAACATCCATTCCATTTATCCATAGCGGGAGGAGTGCATTAGAATTTCAGCAATGTACACAGAGACTAATGTGAGGCCTTTGGGAAGGAAGGGTACTTTAGAGGCACTAAAAGATTATCTCTGACATTGAAAACGCCTGGTCTCTTGTCCTTGCCTTTCAGACTCTGCGTTCAAAGGCGTCGCCTCCAGAAGAACTGGCTGCAGCGATATGCTTATAGCTCCATTTGCAGACTTTCTTATAGGTTCATAAATGGAAACTAGAAGGAGGAGGGAAAGGAATAAAATTTAATAACTGAATAAAAATGTAAATAAAGATTTGCCTAAAATTACTTGTCCAAGAAATAATTCTCCCTCCCCCTTAAGCTAATACTTTGATAAGCTCAGTACAGTGATCCTGATTTGGAGCGTGACCTTTGAAAATGCTCTCCAGCTTGATTAAAGATGTATTAAATTTGTTTAAATAAACCTCGTTGTAATGGCACATCATTTGTAAGAAGCTATTAGGGGGCTGGAAACTGTGCTGCTGTATTTGCATGAAAATGTGCCCTGCTCGAATTGAGGATCTCTCCTGAATTAACTGCAAAGGGAAAGTGACACTTTCATAATTTTTTCTGACAAAAAAAAAAGAAAGAAAAAAAAAACTTTATGCAAAGCTGTTGCAGAGACAGGCAGGCGGAGGCCTGCATGCCAATAACAGGACCACAGATCGAGGGTGTGTCCTCAGGCCAACCGGAATTCTCCATGTTCTTGAGATATTTGGTTAAACACAATCAATACTGTTTAGCTGTCAATTGCTTTGCTCCTAGAATAGTTTCATTTTTGAATCTGTGTGTGTGTGTGCATGAATTGTATGAGAGTAACCAGATCCACAAGGAGGTTGAAAAAGAAAGCTGTGTTATCATATGCCGTGAAATCCCTTGTCTGAAATTCTCTCCCTGGCTTCAATTTTGGTGTGGTCTCTGGGTTTGTGGGGATGCCTCTGCATCCTCCACCCACCACTCCCAAATGATGTATATATCTGCCAGATGTACTGTAATTCCTGCCAATGCCTCCCAAATGATCTGCCACTCTGATGAAAAGGGTCTCTCCTTTACATCAAATCTTAAATTAAAACCTTTCACATCTTCCTGTAGGAGTCAGGGTTCTGGGCCCCATGCCAGTTTATAAAAACTCCACCCTCTGGTCAATCACCATTTCCCCAACTTGTCAGGTAAAAAAGGCCATTTAAAAAACATTTTTTTTCCTCCTGATTTGTTACTAAATGGCTATTCTATTTTACTACTGAGAATTTCCAGTTTCTGTTGTTGAAAACATCCATAAGGTATCCATGCTAGGAATTTTATTCACTGTCCCGTGACAGACATTGAAGATCAACGCCATCCTATGCTTATCAAGAGGAAGGTGGGGAAATGCTGCATGGTTTATGATGAACCCATCTGCAGTGCCACACAGACAGCTACTCTGTTTTAGGTATTAATAAGACTTTTTTTATTTTTTTGCTTCTTAAAAAAGGTCTCAAGATTAGAAAATATTTTCATAATTATCAGTAGGGAAACCAAGCTCAATGAGAGATCTAAAATCACACAATTAGCAAGTGGTGGAAGCTGTATTTGCAGACTAACTGTGTTTCACTTTAATACCTTCACCATTTTATTATACGAACTTCCAGTCAAATTTATTATCTGAAGATAAACTAAAAGACTGCGCTATGAGTCATGACTGCTAACCCTGATGGAGAGTCCCCAGTTCAGAGCAAACATGGACGTGTGCCCAAAAAGACAAGCTATTCCTGTAGAAAGGGATCCTACCCTGGACCATAACGACTGGACAAGAAGAAGTATTGCCAATCATTCAGAATGTTAACTTAAAATCTTTTTCTTTGCAGGTTGATTGTGATGCTATCTGCCAAGTACTGTCAGTATATTCTCTATAAGGGCCTTGTGGAATTTAGGATCACATATAGCGATCAAATATGTAAGTGCACATACGCATAAACACATGTAAATTAGATATGACTTGTGATGCTAGGAAACACAATTTTGTTGGTGTCTAAATTTCCAGTGATGCGACTCTAAAAAATTACATGACATATACAGCTTTATAGTCAGTATAGAGTTTTCTGGATTATCTTTTGTTGGCAGTGTTTTATTTAAAAAATCGAAAAATCAAAATGACTTAATCCAGGGACACTTTGCGAAAAGGCTTGAAAAATGCCAGGAGTACAGTCTCTGTTTTTAGAAATCAAACCATGTTTGAAAAATATTTTCTTTTATTTTGTTATTACATTTCTAATTATTATTCCCCTACCAATTTCCATATGAAGTAGTAAGATGAAAACATTTTAATTAAAACTTGTTTAGAATATCCCAAAAGTCCAATCCTCTCATTCAACGCACAAAAAAAAAAAATCAAAGAAAATCAGCAAAGCACTGCCTCCGAGTTACAGAGTGAAAGAGCTAGCAGTAACAGGGTTGGTTAATGGTGTAGTTAGAGGCATTTCCTGTCCTAAAGCTTCTCTGGTTCTTTTCTACTGCATTATTTGCTCATCTATTAAAACGCCTTAGATTGAATATCTCAAAGCTTAAAATTTCTCTGGGACAAACTATTCCATCAACTTTACATATTTGTTTTGCATTCTTTCCTTTTTCATTTAAAATTCATTTTAAAAATTTTGCCTCATTATCTAGTTTAAGCAAAGTTACAAAAGCATGAATGTGCAGGAGAATCAGGAGGAAGTAAAGCTTATTTCTGGACATGGTGTTTCTTAAAATTTCTGTTACCTTGGTTTCAAAAATGTTTCTTGATCCTGCTCACAATCTTCATTAGCTTGAACTCTGAAGCTCTACCTCCATATAACAAATTTTAAAATATTTTCTGGAAGTGGTTATTGACATTGAGAGAATGAAGGATAACACTTGTTTATTACCCGTATACGTGGGTTGTAACTAAGATATGATGTCCGCAGACAGGTAGTAGCCCACATAGGTATGCCTGCTTTTTCAGAGATATGTGCATATTTTTGCTCATTTGTTGGTTTTGCTATAAACAAAGCAACACTGGCTTCCTTCTGAAACTTTTGCATAGAAGCACAGAGCTGTCTTCTAGTTCATTTTTCTCTTCATTTGCTTTCCATTTTTAATTCACCATTCCCAGCTGAGATACTTGAGCAGATAGAATCAAACCAGCTCCAAGCTAATTGGTTCATCATGCACTTTATGATAATTTTCATTCTGGATTTTGATTAGGTCAGTATGGGGACTGCTTTGGTCAAAGCTTGTAATGATCTGCCTATTAACTTTGAAATAGGGTCCCTGACTGTAGTCATCTTATTAGATAACACAGCTGCCTTTAACTCTGCTAACCGTGAAATATTAGCGGGCTGTCTTAAGGTCCCACGCTGAAGTCTAATATTTTCCATGTTAGTTTTAGCCCTGTTTGACTCAATTTGTTACCTTCATTGGAAGTTCTAAATGTTAAGATGGGGAGATGCCATGCTGCCCCCCTCTTGAGAACCATTTGCATATTTCTAGGTGAGCGAACGAAGCCGCTATACTGTCTTTTCCTTGATTCTTGGTAGAATACATTCCATTGCATAGCATGGTGTTTGGCATCCTGAAGATGTTCAGTGGAGACTGTTACTAATGCAGCAACTCACTGCAATGCATTTTTTGACAAAATATAACATAGAGAATGTAGATTTTATGTAAGATTCAAACCAAAGCAAATGCACTTCAATTTCCTTGATTTTTATTTGTAGTTTTTTTTTTTTTCCTTAATTTTCAGATTGCTGTAATTTAGGGAAGTGGAAGTATTAGAGCACTTGATTTTACTCTCACTTTCACTTCATTCACTTCATATCCTATCGGGTTTGCTTAATTCTTTGTAGGCCTTGTTAGGTGTTGGTTTCTCTGAAACTACATTTCACTCACTGGCTTTGAGCGAAACGCTGCACAGAGGGAGAGAGAGGCTGCTCTGCTTTGGGGCAATTACTGCAGGTGGGATTAACATGTCCTAGGATATCTTGTTTGGTGTGACAGACTTAGAAACTTGGTATTATTTTGTTGCTGTTTGTTTTATTTTGTATAATTTAGATAATCTGCCTTTTTGGATTGGGTGCCTAAATTAAGCCAATTCACATAACAACATGTAACGACATACCCTGGAAGTGACCCACGCATCTTTTGAGGTTCACACTTTCCTTGACACACAGGAGTTTGTAGTAAATGTCAACTATGGCCTCCTTGGCGACACGGCTGCTTCATGCTGAAAGGAGCTGTTGGAAGGCCAGGGAGAGCAGCAGGCAGCACTGCAGAAGACTCTGTACCTCCTCTGCAGTCTTCTCTTTGTCTCCAACAGCCTGCTTTCGTTGTTTATAAGCTTAGCTTTTTTGTTTGTTTGTTTGTCATTTGTGTTTTTGCTTCCGAGGATTTAACACTTTGCAGCATTACTGTATGTTTTTTCTAAGGGAAAAGCTAATAATATAGTTATAAGGCAATGGACATAACTCTTTCAGCTGGGGTAAGTTAAGCAAGTTCCATGAAAGGATTCCAAAAGCAGAGCAAGAGAACAAGACCCCTCGGCTCCACTCTGCCCTTTGTGGAAGCCTAGGAAAACAGAAGTCTGGCTGGAATGTGGCAGCCACTGTGTCACCATGAACTTGGGAACAAAGACTGAATAGGGAATGGAAAATTAAGAAACTATTTCCTGATGATAATCAATTTTTCAGTTAAGATGACTGACATATTCATTTCTCTCTTATGCAGTGAGTTTAAAATCATTATTTTTATTGCCTAAGATAGATTCAAATGGCTTTTGGTTTCTTTAGCCTAGTTCCATTTTCACAGTCACTCAGGCAAGAGTTCAGAGACAAGCCTGTGAAATTATAAATCGAGTTAAAACCTTTTGAAAGAAAAATCTCCACAATTTTTTTCAGTATGCCTTCCTGAAGATGATATTGAAAAATTGTAGAACTGTTGTAAAATACTGAGACTACATAAAGTTTCACACAGAATTTAAACATTATTTTAAATGCCGGGATTTTCTACTGATGGGCCAGTAACATATGGATAGATGATTCAAAAAGAACTGAGTTACTAGTTATTACTACTTTTTAATGTCATTTATTTTTCATGTCTTAATTTCAGTAAAATTACTACTAAGTAATATTGGTAATTTTTTTCATATACTTTTCACTCTGCTGGTAGAGCTGATGTAAAGAGTTAAAGTCAGATGTCATCACATTCTCTGTGTTAAATTTGCATGTAATTGTACACAATTATTAAAGGAAATGCAAAAAAGGAAAGTATTCACAGTTCATATCCTACAGTTTGAAAGCATTTTAAACACTTGAAACCATCAAAATTATAACCAAGAAATATGAGTACAAGTATTTCAGAACTTTAATTTAGATTTAGAAAAACACTATTATTAAAAAGAAAATGGCCATAGTTCTCTTATTCTGTGTTCTAAACCCAGAAGCAAATAAGCAGTAGCTTGTGTCACAGTGTGGACCAAAGGGGCACCAACATTTTAAAATGCAGTCTTGTAATTTAATATGAAAAACATGCAACCAGGTAAGACTAGCTGTTGTAAACAGAGAAAATCATCATTATCTCTAGAACTTCACATTAAAACAGGAAAAGAACCAGGAAAATAAAAGCAGGACCTTCCTGGGAAATGACACTGTACACAAGTTCTCTGAGAGGAAGGATCTGATAGGTAATTGATTTGCGTTTCCTCTTTTCAAGTGCATCTCCTGAGGAAGTGCTCTCTACCCCTGTGTACCTATGATATTAACAGGAGAAAGCTCTGTCCCCCTTTTTAATGGCCTCTTGAATATTAATAAATGTATTAGGAGTAAAAATTTGGAGAGCATTTTGTTGAAGCCAGACTATTATAAGCAGCACATCACTACTGAGTACCTGAAATGCTTGTTTGTAATTGAATACACTTGTCTGTTTCTATATGGGAGATGATCTAAAGTGTGCACACTTCCCGGCCACATTCAAGTCTATGATATACCGAGCAATGATTATATCTCCAGGAGGTGATGTCTCTTGTTAGGATTTCCCACTGTCCACTGGGAAATTCTTTTCTGATTGCATGAAGACCTAGGGGTATCCCCGACACTTGGTGTACTTTCATGGATTCATTTCTTTTCACTTGCAGATCCGGCATTGACTGGCATTCCTTCTGTTCCTCTTTCTATAATGTTCCCTTTTCTGTTGTGGAATAGTTAGGGTTTGTAGCTGGCCCGTGTCCTTAACAACTCTACTGCATTCACTTACACATTTTGTTCTGTTACTTCCCTTCCCTTCATTACAGCTTTTAGTTACTCCTACCACTTAAAGGGAATTGCTCATATATGCAATTGTATGGCACTCACTCTCCAATCTTATGGTAAGTCCTCACCAAAAATGATTTTCAAATCTTAACATAGCTTCCTTAAGCAGATCATACCCTCCCAAGAGGCAGACATTACACCTTGTAGCTCTTCATGTACCCCATATTATGAACACAATGACTTATCTGATGTAATTCGTATCCTCTTAATAAATAATTTTTTGTCTGACATGATACCTATAGTTGAAATAAGTTTGGCTATTATGAGTCATGGTATTATTTGTTCCTTCTCTGCAATTAATTCGGTGGAATTTCCAGCTGGAACATCATGTCTGTGCACTTTATCATAGGGCCACTCCTGTTTTCCACTGGGGACATGGTCTCCTAGTTTGGTATCTCTGTGTGCTCAGGGTAGGCACCTGGTGGAAGGTCTGTTCCCACACTTGCAGATGGGTGCTAGGGAGCACACCGCCCCCTCGTGAAAACTGGTTTGCTATTGAGAGAAATACCTTATGTCCTCTGATCCAAAACCATTCTGCATGTTTTCCTTACCAGGATTTAAAGAACATACTCTGTTCCCTTCCAAATGTGAGAAGTTGAATTTCAAAATAAAATGTGTCACAATAGCAAGGAAAAAAAAAAAGTAGAGAGATTCCTTATTTCACTATCAGTCAATGTGCCTTACCTTTCCTGGTCCTGCATGTAGCACAAGAGCTTCAAAAACACTCTAAAAACAAAGATCAATACACTTTTTTTGTGTGCTATAAATCTGAATTGTTTAAAAAGAAATGTCAAAGTCATAATTCCCTCAGTGATCAGTTCAAACATAAGATTAACAACTTCTCATCTTTGCCCCCCAAACTTGTGCAAATCCTCCTTTATACTCCCATGGAAAGTAGAAAATTTTGCTTTTCTTATTCTAAACCAGCATTCAAAGTCCTGGTAAACAAGACAGACACATAACCACTTTTTAGGGACTAAAAGAAGTTTCAATAACTTTTCTTGCAATTATGTATCTTTCTGGAGTACATCCAGTAATTTACTACAGAGCAAATAAACAATTGAGACCAACCCTGAACCAAGCATCTTGTCCTGTTGTTATGTGAACAAACATCAGAAGAATGTTCTGCCATCCAGTAGAATTGATAATCCCTGTTAAAATGCAAATGTTGCTTCTAAATATGCTAATACATCAAACCACTTAACCACAATTGGTTTGTCAAATTACTAGTCAGTCACCCAGTAGGATTGGAAGCTCTTAATAGGTATTGTGAGGGAAATGACAGGAATCCAGAGACCTGTGCAAGGTATGGTGCCTACATGAAATTTTCAAAAAAACCAGTTGGCACATCAGCTGAAGTTGTCAAAACAAGTTAGGCTAACAAATGTAGTTGCAGAATTTCAGTTTTCAATTTCAGGATGTTGTCTAAATGTGAACGCTTTCAGGTTTGGTATTTTTTTTTTCTACTAAGATAAATCTAGTTAGCTTGTCTCTTTGATCCTATGTTTTATATGGACAACCTCATAGAAAAGGCTATTTTTCAAATACAGAGTGATTTCCCAGTCTACTCACAGCACTAAATTAAAATCAACAGTGAAAAATACTTCTGTAAATGCCTAGAGTGAATGAATAGATCAGTTAGACCAAAAGCAGCTGGGTCAGGGACTACACAAGACCCAGCTCCCTGCTGAGTCACTGCTCCCACTGGTGAGCATGAGAACTAGGAAGGTGAGGGGATGGGGTGGGGGAGATAAGGCAGACAGAACTCCAACCATGATGAGAACTGCAGGATCTGTATTCTGACAAGTCAGCATCAGTACACGTCAGAACTGGGCCTCCTCAGATGCTAAGAGTGTGCAATAGATGGCTTGCCCAACTGCACAGGTCCATTGGGGCCTACAGAGGACGCCTTGTATACTATAGCAAGAGGATGGAGGGCAGAGCAAATTGGGCAACTCTCCCAACAAGCATTGACAGCAAGTATTTGTGTAAATGGAGACTTTAAGGTGGACTATGTCCAATGGACTATTAAAACCACTTGGGCAGGATCCTCAAAGCATGCTCCATATTTGGGACCCTAGAATGACATTGGATGGCCGTTTTCCATCCCTGGGTACCGATGTGGTTAAAATGTTGCATGTGGCTTCCTCCATTCTCTTCCCTTTTCCCCCAGTACAGGAAGAATTAAAGGAAAATTGGAAATAATGGTCTCATCCTCTTTCCCCTAATCCTCAACTCTTCCCACCATAATTAGTGATCCACGTGGTTATACATCCCTCTGAACTAGGTAAACGTCATCAAAAATAAAATCTTTTTAAAAAGGGGAAAAAGCAAAAAGGCCCAGTTCCCACATATTTGCTCAGGGATAGTCCACATATTACTATCCTGGATATTCCTTTGCAATACGTAAGTGTATTGAGGCACATTCACTTACATAAATTAGTGTCTACACATTATATGATACTAGGTCATACAGAGATAATATGCTGTAGAAGAAAATAGGTACTTTTTTAAGGAGATACAGTATGTTGCTTTCTTACTCCAAATAAATTGATTTGGAGAGAAATTAAGACTATTGGGAGGTTGAAATATTTGCAGGTGAAAATCATGTTTTGGTAATGAAAAAACATACTTAAGACGGCATGCAAGAGTTCCCGCACAAACAAAATGAATGTATCATTTTTCCTTTTGATATTTTCTTGACTTTGCACATTTGCTATGATGAGAACATAATATTTCCATTATTAGCAATGATTACGATTTAAGTATGACTGAAGAATGTGTCATTGGGAAGAATTTGGTCAAGTCTTTACAGCCTCTGCTGACAGTACACGACTGTGTTTAGGGAACGGGGAATGTGCCATCTCACTGTTCCAAGTAATTACCATGCGGTAACAGATCCTTAAAATATAAATTCAATGCATATTTAGGAGCTAAGCACACTTAATTGAAAGTGCTACCAGTTGTCTATTCTAATGAGCTGCTAGCTAAATAGGAAAACACCCATAGATGGTAAGTCTTTTACTTTGAAACCTTAAAATAACTTAGAGGAAGAGAAGTGGACGTGGGATTCAAGAAGTAGTTGAGCAACAACATCACAGTTGTGAGTTTTACCTCCTGTCTCAGCAAAGATTTTCCTGTCTTTTTAGTTACATGTCTTTTCATATTCTTGATGTCTTGGTAACAGTACTTTTTTTTTGTTATAATATACCCGTTTTTGTCCACATGGCATTCAACATGTTTCTGTTCAGCTTAAATTTCATTTTACTTTGTCTCTGAAAACATATAGTATCAAATTTCCTGACTTTATGATAGGTAGACTTGAAGCAGTTATGTCATGAGATGGAAATCAATATTGGTTATCCAACCTAAGTACTAATTTTAAGAATGGCCCCAGTTAATGACAGCCTCTGCTTACTATATTTCAAATGTATTCTTTTTAAAATTGTCTTTGAGTACACACATGAGTCTTCCTTAAATGATTATCACTTGATTTGTGCAAGTGACCCTGAGTGTTGCTGTCTATTTTCATTTAGAAGGTGAAAATGAAGAGATCTACATTGTTATGCAAAAACTGCTCTTCATATTGTCTGATAAAGATGTGTGATTTATCAGATTCTTTGTCATCAGCATCATAATGATAGTAGCTCTTTCTCGACTTTGTAGCAGCGAAAAGGAGATATGCGAATAGATGCTATCCAAATAAATCCCTCAGAAATTATTTCTGGACATAAGCTATATTCTTCACTATAAATTTAAAATGAAGCCTTAGAAACAGAGGAACATTGATTCAGTGCGTGGTTAGATACACAGGTCTGAAGTCAGGAAAATAAGCCACAGAAATAGATCTGGAAGAAATCTTAAATCTTTGAAGAAAAATACTGGGTAATTCAGCAAGAAGCAGTGTCTCTTTATGCTCTCTGAAGAACATGTCTTTCTGCCCTGAGACTCATAGGAGTTGATCTTACTCGTCATCCACTTCCTTACTGCCAGATTGCTCCTCAAAATAATATCACTGTGGTCAGTTTAGTTCAAGAAAGATAACTACTTAGTCATGTTAGGCTACCGTAACAAAATACCACAGATTTCTGGGTTTAAACAGAAGAAACCGATTTCAAAAATTCTATGGAAAATGAAATTGGAAGACACACTATTTTAATGCAATACATTTACAACCCTTATATATCTTCTTCATCATATGTATTTTACATGAAATTTTTATGATCCCTTTTAGTTCTCATAGTGCTTGAGGATAGAACATCCAAAAACACTGTGCCAGCAAGGTGGATTCCATTCTGAGTTTTTTTTTTCTCCTTTGGTGTGTAGATGTCTGATCTCTCCTGCTGTGTCCTCGGGATTTCTGCTTGAGACAGGAAGGAAGAGAGAGGGACAAAGCATGTGGTTTCCCTTCTCACATGCATGCTGCTCCTATTATGAATATTCCAAACAGGACATCATACAACCCTGTTTTCCGAAGAGATCAGCTCCAAGTATTGTCACTTTAGAGACTACAGCTTTAACTGGACATAGACATTTATTCCAAAACAGATATTAAATGATTATTTTTAAAACAATGCCTAAACTTAGACTGTAGATATCAAGGAAGGGCATATAATCAAATGGCTTCAAAGATTTTCACCAGATTTCTTTTCATGTACTGGGAAGAGCACTGATGCAAGAGCGTTTGCCAACTGATTTCAAATTCCTGTTATGTAAGTTTCTGATCATGTTGGACTTCGAATCCTATTACTTTAACATTTATGTTGTATGATGAATTACAATGCATGCAAAGTGTACTATAAATATGCTTAGCACATAAATTAATATGTTTTTAAAATATCTAATGAATATGATTCCAAGTATAATTAGATAAAAGGGACACGCAATAATTAAGAAGTATTTGAGGGGCCTGCATGCTGACCCATCAGGTTAAGCCACCACTTTGGATGCTAGCATTCCATATCAAAGTGCTGCTTAAATCCTGACCGTCTCACTACCAATCCAGCTGTGTAATAAGGCACCTGAGACCCAGGTAAATGACTCTTCTTCTGGGATCAGCATTCCCCAGGGCAGTGAACCACTGCATAAAAGACCTTTGTCTGTGTCTCTCTTCCTCTTTTTCTCTAGCATTCTCCCTTTCAGAAAACATTAAGAAGCACTGAAAAACAAACAAAAAAAGAACTATAATTGGCCACCATCCCCCAATTGATAGGTAAGATCCATCTGGTTTTTGATCTTTCCCTTATTTCATTGAAATGTCATTGTGTTAATTATAACAAATATATGTGGTGCAGAACAAATTCCTCTAAATACATTCTTAGAGAGCATATTATATTGGATCAATAGTTTTACCAACAGTAACAATGAAAGCAAATTTTCAACAAATATGACTAGGAGACTTGGATTTTCTAAAGGATCCATTTTTTCCTGAGATTTCTAATATTGTCTTTTTTTGGTTGTTGTAGCTTCATTTTTGGGTGTTGACCGTCATAAAGCTACTTTATTAGTAAACATATCCCCTTTATCTTCAGCTTTGTCTTGCTCTTCAATGCAGCATTCAGTAAATCAATATTCACCTGAGTACCAAAGAGCCTGTCATTTCACCCTTTTGGCAAACATCAACTCCCTCAATGGGACTTCCGCTCTATGCAAAGGTAACAACTTCAGCTCAGACAGCATGTTTTACCACATTATCTCTTGTCTTACTAAACAAAATTCCCAGACAA